ACCGGCGGCTCCAGCGGTGCGTAGCGCAAAAATACGTTCTTGAATTTGATCTTGCCTGCCTGCGGCCATTCGGACTTGGGCTTTTTACTAGGAGCATTTTCGAGAGGAGGCTCGCTGTCCACTTTGCTGGAAAAAGATTGAAACAGAAAATATAGTAACTGTTATTTTATTGGATTATATTTTGAGAGAGATTGCTGCACGAACTTTTTCTCAGTCCCCTACGCCACATTATTATTTTGTACTACCCTTCATAAAATAAGTTTAAATTAATGTATGACCTAGAATTTCATGTTTTTCAAAATATCCCTGGTAACTCGATCCGGGTGTATAAAAATATGCGCGCGGCGTGGAGTAATAAATATCAAAAATATTACAAAATTAGTTAAGTACTTGTACCTACTCAAGGATGCGGTCCACCGAAGTCATTTGGTTCTCCAATTCTGCGCTCTGACGCATGCTCCACTGGAACATGCTAGTGAGACCGATACTCTGCGCCTACAAATTTGCCATCCATTGAACCTTGACTGTAGTTGTCTAGCACGAGAAAGCTCAGCATGACCAACGTGATGTACAGTACGCAGAAAACATCCAGCCAAAAACAGAAGGCGCACGAGGTCGAGATAAAGATATACTATGCGGACGAATGAATATCCTGATAATTATCAACTTCCTTTGTGAGAATCGCTTTCGCCCCAAATCCACGAATCGTCGATAACCCTTGAAGTGTCGCGCTCAGGTGAGCAAAGACCGGCGAACGTGCTAAGCTAAGAGAAATTAGAAATTCCATTCAGTTTACCCGAAGAATTAAAATTTATCGTAAATTCTATGAGATTAATGATTTGGTTTCTATCTGTGATGGAATTTATTTTAGTCTATCGAAGACACTGTGTCGACTATCAAAAGATGAGTTTGCGATACTCACTGATACCTTCAAGACGCTACGACTGGTGGCCAGATAGAAGATTCTCATGTAATAAAAGACAATACCAATTAGCACCGTGGGTATCAGCAGCCACACGTTCGCGGTGGCTACCACAATGATAATGCCCAGTAGTGCTATACCGATCTGAAGACAGTATATAAACGCAGCGGGCAGCATCTCATCAACCGCTCCCATGTCTTTGGAAAAGCGATTGAGTACACGTCCCGAAGTATTAGTGTTAAAGAATCGCATTGTGGCACGACTGATGCTGCGAAACATGCGATCGTGCAAGCGCATTGAAGCCCTCATACATGTCCAAAAAAACGTCCATGAACGAATGAGGGTGATGATGATCGTTGACATAATCAGTCCGCTGCAGATGTAGATGCACTGCATGCGGGTGAGAGGACCATTCGGGTCTTTTATAACACCGTTGTCCTTTTGGCTCATCTATAAAATTATATAATTAATAATTCCTATGTAATCAATATGCAGAAGAATCTGTAGAAACTTTCTTGTAGATTTTGTTTTATTCACGTTTATTCTTAAAAATAAAACTTCTCCCTCATGAAAATTTCGTATTTTAATTTTAAGGAAAAATTCTGCGTTTACTTATGAGAATTAAATTACAAATTTGAACTTTTTCCACGGCAATAATTGCTCATTTAAATTCTTTATGTATAATATTATAGTCAAAACTGGCACAACCTTTAGAAACAATTTTGAGCAAAATTAGAATTGAAAGTGATGTAATAACTAATTAATAAATATATTATTTATTGTACACGTAGTGATGCACTTACATAGTTTTCCTCTATATTAATCCATTGAGCGAGAAAAAAGTCGCTGCCGCTAGCCGCAAATTGTGTTATTATACAAAGCATAGCCACTATGAATATAATGCACCAATTGCCGCCAGCACGAAAGTAATCCGTATATACTTTATCGGAAAAATTGCCTACCGTTCGTATTTCAGCCACCTGAAATTAACAATTAATATGTTGTGGTAATTTGGCATCAAAATATAAAATTATTCTTTATATTATTCTATACAATATATATATATATATATATATATGTATATATTTTATTCTATAAATTATTCTATGTATATATTTATATCATCATTGTAAAATTATTCCAATAATAAAAAAAATAGCACCCTCATCGTTTCTATACATGCATAATAATAATCACAAGAAACTCGTTACTTAATTATTAATTTTTAATAGGAATAATTTTTTATAATATACTAAAATTTAATTGATAGAAAAGGTAAAATATTCCAGATGGAAAAATTTCGCTAAAATTATTTCATGTTTTGGAATACTTTTCAACAAAATTTCAGTATTTCAGAAAAATTTCAGTTTTATTTCAATGATTTTTACCTGAAAAATCCATTTTCAGCAAAATTTCAGAGAAATTTCAGAAACATTTCAGCAAAAATTTTAGAGGAATTTCAATTCAATTTCACCGATTTTTCGTACGTTAGCTGAAAAATTCACTTTCAATGAAAGTTCAGCAAATTTTCAGTAATTTCGCTAAAATATTCCAAAACATGGAATAATTTCAGTGAAACTTTTTCTTCAGGGATCTGAACTAATATTTATTAGTGTGTGTGGCTATAATAACTTAACACATTTTCTTATAATTATCCTAAATCTTAGTTAAATAAAATACGTATCAGTAGTAACGTTACAAAATAAGTCCGAATTACCTTAAGAGGCTCCTGTTTCAATGTATCATTCGTCATGACAGTACTCAGCGATGAGATGCTGGTA